ATTTGGTTGTATGTAGAATTCTATGTAGAATTTACAGTCAGAATCTCAGCAAGTCTGTTTTAGCTCAAATGTTACACCACAGGGTAGAATTTCCAAAACACTGCTAAACACAGCTTGTAAGTGTTGGTATGCAGGAACCAAATTTACTCCCTTTTAACGGGACTATAAAACGTATAGAGCCTATGTCAACGTATATGTTTGGTTTATTTGCTAAGTTCCCCATTACAAATACATATGGTATGTTATTTAAAATTCCCAATGCCAGATGTATATGGTAGGTTTATACATTATACATCACAAGAGATTGCAACATGAATCAAATTTCATGACATGAAAATGAAAGATATGTTCAAAAAGTAACACGTTCATGTGTTATCAAAAACGCTATGGCGTGGTCACATCTGTTGATCGGACGATTGGGACATTTCAAAGTGAAATCAAAACTGAAACGATTTGCATTTGTTTCAGTTTTTAAGCCAAAGGAGCCTTAATCTTTCTAGATCAGGGCTGGATGATTGGTATCCTTCATTTAAAATCAACTTTTATCCGAATTTTTTCCCTGATAAGAGGATTACGATCAAGAACTAGTAACATAATAGTTTCTGCAAATGATAGCTTGCTTATAAATATTTAAATCGTCATATGTGTATACATAGAAACAGATAAGGAGTTACGAAAGCGGTTGATCTTTCATTACATTTTTTAAGAGGTGACCGGAATGTTAACATCACAAGAGCTGACCGGGATGATAACATCACAAGAGCTGACCGGAATGATAACATCACAAGAGCTGACCGGAATGATAACATCACAAGAGGTGACCAGATGTTAACATCACAAGAGGTGACCAGATGATAACATCACAAGAGCTGACCGGAATGATAACATCACAAGAGCTGACCGGAATGATAACATCACAAGAGCTGACCGGAATGATAACATCACAAGAGCTGACCGGAATGTTAACATCACAAGAGCTGACCGGAATGATGACATCACAAGAGCTGACCGAAATGTTAACATCACAAGAGCTGACCGTATGTTAACATCACGAGAGCTGACCGGAATGTTAACATCACAAGAGCTGACCGGAATGATAACATCACAAGAGGTGACCGGAATGATAACATCACAAGAGCTGACCGGATGTAAACATCACGAGAGCTGATCGGAATGTTAACATCACAAGAGGTGACCAGAATGATAACATCACAAGAGCTGACCGGAATGTTAACATCACAAGAGGTGACCAGAATGATAACATCACAAGAGCTGACCGGAATGATAACATCACAAGAGCTGACCGGAATATTAACATCACGAGAGCTGACCGGATGTTAACATCACAAGAGCTGACCGGATGTTAATATCACAAGAGCTGACCGGAATGATAACATCACAAAAGCTGACCAGATGATAACATCACAAGAGGTGACCAGATGATAACATCACAAGAGGTGACCAGATGATAACATCACAAGAGCTGACCGGAATGTTAACATCACAAGAGCTGACCGGAATGTTAACATCACAAGAGCTGACCGGAATGATAACATCACAAGAGCTGACCGGAATGATAACATCACAAGAGCTGACCGGAATGATAACATCACAAGAGCTGACCGGAATGATAACATCACAAGAGCTGACCGGAATGATAACATCACAAGAGCTGACCGGAATGATAACATCACAAGAGCTGACCGGAATGATAACATCACGAGAGCTGACCGGATGTTAACATCACAAGAGCTGACCGGATGTTAAAATCACAAGAGCTGACCGGAATGCAATGTTGACCTCTCGTGCAGGTGTTTCACAATCGCCGACATTTGTAAGTATCTCTGAACATGGTTCTATCTATTCACAAAGAAGCAACTCTGACAGTCATATAAAAACAATTCTTACCCAATTCGGCAGCCGACATATTTGATGACCGTTGTGCAGAATACAGTTATCGGGCTACTGTAAGTTAAACTTGTCACAAGGATTAAAATGACACGTGGTGTTTTAACATTACCCACGTCACCTTGCAAGTTTCAAATGGACGAGATGGGTAAATTGTGCACTTTACGGTTACTTAGGTTTGCTTTCAGAATCAACAAACCAAACGGTTTAAATGTTCGCTTCATATCTCTATATTTACGTTCTGTATATGAATCTACCAACTGAAAACAGCTGCCATTAGACTAGTGATCATTTCATGATTGTGTTTGCTTGTTGACATAATAAAAAAATATGTTTGCGGAGTCTGATATTTGTCTTTCAAACCTGCGAGGCTTCCATACCGAATCAATATTGAACGGTTTAATATGTATTATTAAAAAAGTATATTACTTCAGATTTCACTATGGATAAAATGTGATATCAGAAATATCAGAAATAAGTGTTATTCAGAAGCTAAATTGAAATTATTAATAAGTACAAGCATGTATATATTAATACTTAATAATTCATGAAATATATGTTACAGCAATCCAGAATATAAACAAGGCTAATCTTGAAATATGATACACAAATATGTTTTTATACTGTGCATATAATATAACGCATATTACTACGACACTGCCAGTGTGTATTGGAACAGAGGGTCAGTAAAGTCACTGTTATATTAATAATGTTGGTAGCCGCGACAACGTAGTATAAATACAAGATACCACCATTAATTAAACATTATTAAAACAGACTGTTTAACTAACTTAGTCAATACCATGTCTGATATTACATATGTGAAAGCTGTATTGTACTGTTAGTCTACATGGTGATCGTAAACACGTAAGCAAGCAGACAGACCTTGGTTGTGTGTTTTGATGTCGTAAACTGATGTATAGAGTCTGAGAACTAATTGTTGTCGATACATAATTATCCCGGGTAATATCAATACAGCTGTGAAATTGTTAAAAGACGAAATTGATGTTCATACGAACATTACAAAAAACGAAAGTGTTGGAGGTAATATATCTGTCAGCTTGTTATACAAGTTTTTCCTTTGACACTTCAGAAATTGACCATTTTACAATATCACGATTGTTTTATTTAGCTGCACATATATGGTGTCAGTGAATCTTTATTTAGAAATATTCTGACAGTAAGTGTTTCGAAACAGAGCAGAAATACCGCGACATCATAACATCTTTAAACATTTTGGATACAACTGTTCGTTTTGAACTAACATTCCATGTCAACAATACCAGAGTAAGTTCTAGCTACAATTTAACGGTCAACATAGAATAGTTCGCCAACAGACTCATCTAGCTCGTGACGATAAGTTATTCCTTGAATTATGCACCGGATATTTAATCAAACACGATCAATATACAACCATTTGTCATTTAAGGATCTGGATGATTAAGTCATTTTCACTGGAGGCATATCATACTGAGAGGGCTACTATTGTGTGTTAACGTCCAGGTCTAATAACAGTTTTGACTTGCGCTGCTATCAAAGATCCGTCAGAATGGTCGTTCACCATGCAACTACAAACAAAATTTGAACCATTCAAAATATGTGAAACTACAAGCAATGCTTGAACCATTAAAACTATGAGAAACTACAAAGAGTATTTGAACCACACAAAATTTGTGAAACTGCAAGCAAAATTTGAACCACTCAGTTATGTGAAACTACAAACAGTTTTGGAACCACTCAAAATATATGAATTCACAAACAGTATTTGAACAACTAAGATATGTGAAACATATACTGTATTTGAAGGAATCAAAATATGTGAAACTACAAACGATATTTCAACCACTCAAAATATAGCAAAACTGCAAACAATATTTGAACCACTTAGTTATGTGACACAACAAAACGTATTTGAACCTTTTTATTCATGTGAAACTATAAACAGTAGGATAACCACTTAAATATGTGAAACTGCAAACAGAATTTGAACCACTTGAATGTGAAACCTCAAATAGTATTTGGACCCCTTCAATTATATGAAACTGCAACAAAATTTGAACCACTCAAAATATGGTAAACTACAAACAGTATTTGAACGACTTGTTTATATAAAACTACAAACACTATTTTAATCACTTGAAATATGTGAAACTACAAACAGTATTTGAACAACTTATTCATGTGAAACTACAAACAGTATTTGAACCACTCACAATATGTGAAACTACAAACACTATATCAATATCACAAAACCCGTTCAATGTGAACTGTTTATTTTACAACAATCACCAACATCTGTAAACGTATGACTTATCTATAGTCTTATCTACAAGAAAGGTCAGAAGTACACCAGTCCTCATAGGTATAATTCCATAAGGATGCCCTATTTGATTTGATTCATTTTATGAATAAGTTATGATAAAAATTGATACGGTATTTAAGTGTACGAAGAAAACATATATGCCCAAAACAGTTGAACATAATTTATTATATAGCAAATAAGAGAACGATTATAACGACTGCTCAGTGTAGATTGAAGCCTTGCTGGTTGATAACCCCGGCATATTAGCCAACTTGTCAACATGTATAATATATACATAAATAGATTTTAATGTGAAATTAAAGGATCAGACAAGCATATCATCGCCATTCGTTTTCCTTTCTTTATCTATCTGTTTATTATTTATGAATTATGTTCAATGTTGTTAACACAAACATATCATTATGATATGACCCTCAGTCAAGGACCGTATAAAATGCAATTGAAAAAGATACGAAGGGGACACGCATTCCCATGAAATTAGCACGAAAACACAGCCGCCTTACACACAGGTCAGTCGGAATTCATGTAGAATTATGTATCTATCAATAGTGTCACAGAATTCAAGCTTTATGCGTCATTTTAACTATAACCCCAATGGTATCTCCCTTTTGGTATCCTCGAAAATATTCCTAACAGAGCCTCAAAACTGTCACGATTTATGTCCAAGCTGTAACACTTATCAACCATGGCCTCAGACCCTTATCGAATTCTTCACGTTCTCTCTAGAATTTGAACTATTGGTAGGTCAGTATCTGTTATCTATATCTAGTACGTTGTGTACTAGTCAATGTCTCATTGTTGTTGTCTTCACGAAGTCACCATGTTCTCCTTAGTACTTGCAGCTATGATAGGAATTTCACAGGTGAGTAAATATTTAGGAAAGAAAAAATGGTGGACTCATTTGTTCAAGATTCATTTGCGTAATAAAATATGGTGACAGACTTCGGAATTTCATTTTCTTTTTTAAACAAAAACACAAACTGAGTATTTTTGTGTCGTGCATTTGAGAATATTACTTTTGAATCCTTGAAGGTTTTCTCTCCTTCTTCTTCATTACATATAAGCCTGATACCATCACTGTTTACATTTTCTCCGAAAGTTTCATTAATGTTCAGTAATGATATATCTCAACTGCTGCTTGAACGAAATAATAAACAGCTCGATGTTAATTCTACATTATTCTGTTAGAACATACCGTAATCAATTATAAATTTGTATATGAATTTTTTATTTTTATTTACCAAAATTGTGTTTATGATTGCTTTGAGGCATATGATACACCTTACAAACGTTTGAAAACTATTTTAACAGTAATAAAGTAAATTGCCCTCCCGTGAGAGATCTCTATTTTAATTGAAAACTGGTTGACTCTGTCAAGTTCTAAAAGAACGTGCAAGTGAGTACGGTTCTGATAGACTGTTGCATATAGATTTTATGTAGGGAAAAAGGTCAGACTATTTCTAGCACGTGTCCATCATATGGATGGCAATCCTAATATTTAAAAGAACAGTAGAGAGATAAACACACAGCCAATCAGAATGTTCAATCTCACGGTTAAGGTCATTTGTATGTACTTTTTTAATCATTTTGTCATCTTTGGTCCTTGTATCAGGGAAACACGAACAAATGTTTCCCCGTGATTAACTATGTTCTCTGAGAGCGAAATCAATCGCGATGTTTCTTAACTACAATGGAAAAGGTGTTTTCATTGTGCTGAATTTATAAAAAAGAAAGTTAAAAACACAATATTAAAAAATATCATCTGTTGTATATCATTTTCCAAAGTTCGATCGCATAAGGGTTTATGATCCGTGAGAGGGCGAAACGATGTTAAATTTCAACGTCTTATGATATATTCTATCCAATCACTAATATATAACGATATTTGAGTTTTATGTATACACAGGCCAATACAGTTGGTCCCTGGACACCGGCCGTACCCACAGACACAGGGCCCATCGACTGGACCAGGACAACATATGTACCTATGATGACGTCACTGGCCCCTTTCTACACCGGTACACATAGTACACATCAACACCATCATCATCAAACAACAAAGCACCATTCCGGACATGACCATACGGCCCATCCAACAACTCACCGGCCAGTCGACTCTAATGAGTTTGACACTGCAACGTTCTACTACGACGCGCTATCGGTGAGATATGTACGCCAGGTTGTGGAATAAAACGTCAAAGATAGAATATTTATTTCTATACATTTATATAAATAAAAACTATAAATACACTTTTTCATACACATGTTTTTAATTTTACTTTTTTTTTAAATGCAGGTTATGAAATTAGAGATGAGATTAGATACCAAGGTACCAAGAAATACGACTTTTTTTTGAGATTGGTACTATCGACATCTACAAATGGACTGGAAGTTAAAATTAGTGTACAAATATTAACATTATTAATTTCAATTTTGAATAAAAAAAAAATAATGACCTTCCAATTTTACTTGAAATTTATTTGAGTTTGATCAAATTGACAGGAAACATGTATGCCTGTGTATTGGACTCAGAATATTTCAATTATATCACATAAAACGTATAAAACAAGTAACACGCAATAACACATAGTATGCTACTCCTATATACTTGAGTTACCGATAATGAAATATTTCATTTGTTACCTGATGAAGCCCTGATTGTTCAGCATGCAAAGTACAATTTGTATTTTAACACGTCTATGTAAAGGAAATTCAACTTTCAAATTAAGTTTGGTGATTGATGAATAAACAACAGAAATAAAGAATATTCCGGTCACTTGTACGCGAAATATACGAAATTTGTATTAACTGGTTGGGCTGGATTATTTTTTTTGTCTTTTCATATTTTACAGCACACAATGGTCATGCATCTGGGAAGTTGTTACTTGATGAAACTGAGTGCCGCCCAACAACAATCTGTCCACACACAACATGGACTTAAGTCTATTGAGGTAAGTAAAACAAGGAGGATTAACAACAAAACAAGCTACAAGCAGTGATAAAGTCTAACACAGATTTCACTTCTATGATACATTTACTGAGGTCAGTAAAACAACCAAGATCTAAACTGGAACAATATCAAAGGAGTGATAAAGTTTTACAAAAAATATTTCATCTTTAATAAATGTTTCTCTTCAAAGACACTAAAGGCTTCAAAATGGCTTTAAAAAGTCCCATTAAAACACAGTGTTTTGATTGCAAGGGGATATATTATGCATATATTGAAATATTCATACAATGATAAACCACACAGTAATAAAAACTCAATATGGAAAGAGACTTTTGTATTTAGAAATGAACGAAGAAATAATAAGAGATAAAACCGTTCGATACATTGGTATCCACGGTAGCTGCGTAATATATGCGTAACTCGTCAGTCGTAAGTCACTGACGAGTTACGCATGTCGACATATTCTTAAGGATGTCCACATAATTAAGAATTAAAATATCACATGTTACCAATGTGATTTTGCCGAACAACTTGGCGTTTGTGTCTTGTTGATGCTACTCTGACATCGACGTGTCACTTATATATCAAGTCATAATACTGGCGCCTTATAAAACCCAAAACGAGGCTTGGTTCTACAAAGACTGGGGCTAAGTTGAATGTCAAAGGCAGCAATATCTCACCATAGGAACGTATCACTGTTTATATGTTTTGTTTAAAGGATAGCGTAATATATACCTGAACGTTTGTATATTTTGTATATAGCTGAGTTTGATGAGGATTGCTGTAAATGGACAAAAGACCAAAATAACACATGACCAAGTAGTGGCCATGAGTGTTCACTTGTCCCACATGTGTCCTAGTCAAAACAACTTTCTCCTCCATCACGTCGTACACCATCACACCACCACCGTCAGGTTCTAAAAACTGACATCACTTTCGATAAGGTATGTATTTCATGATGAAATTTAGCTAGCTTCGTAAGGTAAGTTTTCCATGTGAACGATTTTTTATATAATGATTTTATAATTAAAAAGTCATCACTCATATATCTATCAATATATTTAAGGCAGGCATACGATTGCCATCTTGTTTTGTTACACTTGACCTTATATTCAGAATTCTGTTTCTATTTGTACTTGTATCGGAATTAGGAGTTCAAAAAATACTCAAAAAAGACGTTAAAGGATTTCACCGGTTTAAAAATTGCGTTTAAAGATGCAGAATGTCATAATAAGCTAGTATTTTAATGCACCATATGGTCATTAGTCTATATAGGACTAATGAAAAGTCCACATGTAAAGTGTTCCGAAAGGCATTTAGAATACAGAGGATATCGAATTGTGCCTATAAATACCTTTTATAACGTCACAAATTATTACTTTCGTCTTCAACAGATAATTTATATTTACATTTACTAATGCAGGTATGATTTAACGTCATTACTTGATACATGCATTCATTGTTTATATCAGTGGAAAATAATTAGAGTACTCAATACACATGCTAAACTCTATCATTCTAAGTTTACTTACAAAATGCTGATAAGACCATCTACAAAGTAACGATGTAAATACAAAACATGATAATAGTTTCAAAGAAAGCAATACTTCAGTTTACTTTAAGAATTGAGAAAACCCTCTTAAAAACTTAACTTGTACGTCCTTTGTGATCATGTGTACTAAATGTATTATATTTTACTGAAGTATGACACCGTCTGAACATACATACTTCATAATGTCACTGGTGGTCTGATATCAATCCCATCTACATAAGGAGTACACGTTGTAAAGTTGTGGTCTGATATCAATCCCATTTAGATCAGGAGTACACGTTGTAAAGTTGTGATCTGATATCAATCCTATCTAAATAAGGAGGACATGTTGTAATGTTGTGGTCTGATATCAATCCTATCTAAATAAGGAGAACACGTTGTAATGTTGTGATCTGATATCAATCCTATCTAAATAAGGAGTACAAGTTGTAATGTTGTGGTCTGATATCGATCCTATCTAAATAAGGAGTACACGTTGTAATGTTGTGATCTGATATCAATCCTATCTAAATAAGGAGTACACGTGGTAATGTTGTGATCTGATATCAATCCTATCTAAATAAGGAGGACATGTTGTAATGTTGTGGTCTGATATCAATCCTATCTAAATAAGGCGTACACGTTGTAATGTTGTGATCTGATATCAATCCTATCTAAATAAGGAGGACATGTTGTAATGTTGTGGTCTGATATCAATCCTATCTAAATAAGGAGAACACGTTGTAATGTTGTGATCTGATATCAATCCCATCTAAATAAGGAGTACACGTTGTAAAGTTGTGGCCTGATATCAATCCCATCTAAATAAGGAGTACACGTTGTAATGTTGTGATCTGATATCAATCCCATCTAAATAAGGAGGACACGTTGTAATGTTGTGGTCTGATATCAATCCCATTTAAATAAGGAGTACCCGTTGTAAAGTTGTGATCTGATATCAATCCTATCTAAATAAGGAGTACAAGTTGTAATGTTGTGGTCTGATATCGATCCTATCTAAATAAGGAGTACACGTTGTAATGTTGTGATCTGATATCAATCCTATCTAAATAAGGAGTACAAGTTGTAATGTTGTGGTCTGATATCGATCCTATCTAAATAAGGAGTACACGTTGTAATGTTGTGATCTGATATCAATCCCATCTAAATAAGGAGTACACGTTGTAATGTTGTGATCTGATATCAATCCTATCTAAATAAGGAGGACATGTTGTAATGTTGTGGTCTGATATCAATCCTATCTAAATAAGGCGTACACGTTGTAATGTTGTGATCTGATATCAATCCCATCTAAATAAGGAGTACACGTTGTAAAGTTGTGGCCTGATATCAATCCCATCTAAATAAGGAGTACACGTTGTAATGTTGTGGTCTGATATCAATCCCATTTAAATAAGGAGTACACGTTGTAAAGTTGTGGTCTGACATCAATCCCATTTAAATAAGGAGTACCCGTTGTAAAGTTGTGATCTGATATCAATCCTATCTAAATAAGGAGTACACGTTGTAATGTTGTGATCTGATATCAATCCTATCTAAATAAGGAGGACACGTTGTAATGTTGTGGTCTGATATCAATCCTATCTAAATAAGGAGTACACGTTGTAAAGTTGTGGTCTGATATCAATCCTATCTAAATAAGGAGTACACGTTGTAAAGTTGTGGTCTGATATCAATCCTATCTAAATAAGGAGTACACGTTGTAAAGTTGTGGTCTGATATCAATCCTATCTAAATAAGGAGTACACGTTGTAAAGTTGTGGTCTGATATCAATCCTATCTAAATAAGGAGTACACGTTGTAAAGTTGTGGTCTGATATCAATCCTATCTAAATAAGGAGTACACGTTGTAAAGTTGTGGTCTGATATCAATCCTATCTAAATAAGGAGTACACGTTGTAAAGTTGTGGTCTGATATCAATCCTATCTAAATAAGGAGTACACGTTGTAAAGTTGTGGTCTGATATCAATCCTATCTAAATAAGGAGTACACGTTGTAAAGTTGTGGTCTGATATCAATCCTATCTAAATAAGGAGTACACGTTGTAAAGTTGTGGTCTGATATCAATCCTATCTAAATAAGGAGTACACGTTGTAAAGTTGTGGTCTGATATCAATCCTATCTAAATAAGGAGTACACGTTGTAAAGTTGTGGTCTGATATCAATCCTATCTAAATAAGGAGTACACGTTGTAAAGTTGTGGTCTGATATCAATCCTATCTAAATAAGGAGTACACGTTGTAAAGTTGTGGTCTGATATCAATCCTATCTAAATAAGGAGTACACGTTGTAAAGTTGTGGTCTGATATCAATCCTATCTAAATAAGGAGTACACGTTGTAAAGTTGTGGTCTGATATCAATCCTATCTAAATAAGGAGTACACGTTGTAAAGTTGTGGTCTGATATCAATCCTATCTAAATAAGGAGTACACGTTGTAAAGTTGTGGTCTGATATCAATCCTATCTAAATAAGGAGTACACGTTGTAAAGTTGTGGTCTGATATCAATCCTATCTAAATAAGGAGTACACGTTGTAAAGTTGTGGTCTGATATCAATCCTATCTAAATAAGGAGTACACGTTGTAAAGTTGTGGTCTGATATCAATCCTATCTAAATAAGGAGTACACGTTGTAAAGTTGTGGTCTGATATCAATCCTATCTAAATAAGGAGTACACGTTGTAAAGTTGTGGTCTGATATCAATCCTATCTAAATAAGGAGTACACGTTGTAAAGTTGTGGTCTGATATCAATCCTATCTAAATAAGGAGTACACGTTGTAAAGTTGTGGTCTGATATCAATCCTATCTAAATAAGGAGTACACGTTGTAAAGTTGTGGTCTGATATCAATCCTATCTAAATAAGGAGTACACGTTGTAAAGTTGTGGTCTGATATCAATCCTATCTAAATAAGGAGTACACGTTGTAAAGTTGTGGTCTGATATCAATCCTATCTAAATAAGGAGTACACGTTGTAAAGTTGTGGTCTGATATCAATCCTATCTAAATAAGGAGTACACGTTGTAAAGTTGTGGTCTGATATCAATCCTATCTAAATAAGGAGTACACGTTGTAAAGTTGTGGTCTGATATCAATCCTATCTAAATAAGGAGTACACGTTGTAAAGTTGTGGTCTGATATCAATCCTATCTAAATAAGGAGTACACGTTGTAAAGTTGTGGTCTGATATCAATCCTATCTAAATAAGGAGTACACGTTGTAAAGTTGTGGTCTGATATCAATCCTATCTAAATAAGGAGTACACGTTGTAAAGTTGTGGTCTGATATCAATCCTATCTAAATAAGGAGTACACGTTGTAAAGTTGTGGTCTGATATCAATCCTATCTAAATAAGGAGTACACGTTGTAAAGTTGTGGTCTGATATCAATCCTATCTAAATAAGGAGTACACGTTGTAAAGTTGTGGTCTGATATCAATCCTATCTAAATAAGGAGTACACGTTGTAAAGTTGTGGTCTGATATCAATCCTATCTAAATAAGGAGTACACGTTGTAAAGTTGTGGTCTGATATCAATCCTATCTAAATAAGGAGTACACGTTGTAAAGTTGTGGTCTGATATCAATCCTATCTAAATAAGGAGTACACGTTGTAAAGTTGTGGTCTGATATCAATCCTATCTAAATAAGGAGTACACGTTGTAAAGTTGTGGTCTGATATCAATCCTATCTAAATAAGGAGTACACGTTGTAAAGTTGTGGTCTGATATCAATCCTATCTAAATAAGGAGTACACGTTGTAAAGTTGTGGTCTGATATCAATCCTATCTAAATAAGGAGTACACGTTGTAAAGTTGTGGTCTGATATCAATCCTATCTAAATAAGGAGTACACGTTGTAAAGTTGTGGTCTGATATCAATCCTATCTAAATAAGGAGTACACGTTGTAAAGTTGTGGTCTGATATCAATCCTATCTAAATAAGGAGTACACGTTGTAAAGTTGTGGTCTGATATCAATCCTATCTAAATAAGGAGTACACGTTGTAAAGTTGTGGTCTGATATCAATCCTATCTAAATAAGGAGTACACGTTGTAAAGTTGTGGTCTGATATCAATCCCATCTAAATAAGGAGTACACGTTGTAAAGTTGTGGTCTGAAATCAATCCTATCTAAATAAGGATTACCCGTTGTAAAGTTGTGGTCTGATATCAATCCTATCTAAATAAGCAGTACACGTTGTAAAGTTGTGGTCTGAAATCAATCCTATCTAAATAAGGATTACCCGTTGTAAAGTTGTGGTATGATATCAATCCTATCTAAATAAGGAGCACACGTTGTAATGTTGTGGTCTGATATCAATCCTATCTAAATAAGGAGGACACGTTGTAATGTTGTGGTCTGATATCAATCCAATTTAAATAAGGAGTAC